CATCTGACTCTTCCTCATCTTCCATCTTGTCCACACAGTCTCTCTGATCAAAATCCTCCTTATCCCTCTCTGTTCTCTGTCTCTAAGTTCTCTCAGTTGTCTACATACCTCCTATGTCTCCCAGGAATCCAGTTATAAACCCAAGCAATAGTAATCCCCTGATCTAGCAAGGTCACCAGGATTGAATTCTATGGGGTCATAAAGGCAGGTAAGAATTTTTCTCAGGCAATGACCACCGGGCTTTCTTTTACAATCCAAAATGGGAGTGGTAAAAGAGGAGGTCAACAGAGTACTAATAACCGGTTAATGTATGAAAAGGTGGGTCTATGTGCTCAGTCTACATTCTGAGACGTGGTTAGGTACGAAGTTAGGGGTCTATAAAGTTAGTAAAGCTGTAAGAAAGGAGGGTCCTAGCTAAATTGTGTAAAGCTATTACTTAAAATCCACCTGACCTAGGTGGTGTCTCCTTGTGGAATTTACCTTAAATCAGGAGACTAGCATGTGAACTGTTATTACTGTCAATCCTTGAAAGAGGTTAAGGGAGTTATCTGATTCCAGTACTGAAAGGGGAGAACCAGATGGGCTGGGGGGAAGGAAAAGCCTTTCCCCAGGTTATTCTCCAAATACCTTAAATGTATATGTCCAAAGAGTGATCAGTCCATGCCGTTAGCACTTCTAAGGGCAAATCAATTGGGAAAACTATGAAGGCACACATGATTTTCATAACAGAAGACAGCAGATATGTAACAAGCCAAGTAACACCAAAAGCTCCTTCGAATTTGGCTTCCTCTGAAGGAATTCCTTGATCCCTTCAGGTAGTGACTTTGCCATAACTAGCTGCATTCTTATTTTTTTTTTAAAAGATTTTCTATTTATTTATTTATTATGTATATAGTGTTCTGCCTGCATATATGCCTGCAGGCCAGAAGAGGGCGCCAGATCTCATAGGTGATTGTGAGCCACCATGCGGTTGCTGGGAATTGAACTCAAGACCTCTGAAAGACCAGTCAGTGCTCTTAACCTCTGAGCCATCTCTCCAGCCCCAACTGTGTTCTTATGATAGATTCCTGCAGCCCTCAGCAGAAGAAGGGACAACTCTGAAGTACAACTTTAAGAATACGTGACCTTATTTATTTTGTCTATGTTTATATGGTATGTGTGGAGGTCATCCTTGGCCATAGGACACATGCAAAGGTCAGGGCAAAAGTGGGTGAATTGTTTCCTTCCAACATACTGATCTGTGGGACAGAGGTCATCAAGCTTGGCAGGAAGTACCTTTACCTGCTGATCCATCTCCACAACCTGCAAAATGTTTGTTTGTTTCTTTTGTTTCTTTTCAGACAGGGTCTCATATTGTATCTCAGGCTGGCCTGGAAATAGCTACATTTCTGGAGCTAAGCTGGCTTGATGTTGTGACAATCCTCCTGCCTCAGCCTCCCAAATTCTGGGATTACAGACATGAACCACCATGCCCCGCTCTGGTCCCCTTTTCACATTTCCTTAGTCCTTAGTGTTCAGGGTTTAACAAATTAAGGATCTGACGGGGCCTGAGTCATTTTGCTAAATGACATGTTCTAGAAAGATGTCTGCACAGCTGTCCATCAACAGGAGGCTGGGATGGAGAGAAGTGGAGGAAAGGTCCAGGTTGCCCCCAGTCAGATTTCCTCCCTCAGCAGGCAGATCTGCAAGTGCCACTAAAACAACATCAAAAGGAAAGAACTCCACAAACTGCCTTGAAAAGAAGTGTGCTGGGAGTTTAAACCTCAGGCCCTGGAGTCACACCTTCTCTTTTGAAGATACGTTTTCTTAGCTGGATAAACCTGAGCAATCACTGACCTCAGTTTCCCCAGTTGAGAATCAGCAATAATCATTGTGTCTTCTCTCATACAATGGTCTGAAGAGTGAGTTAATATTTGTACAGAGCTCAGAATAGTTCCAGTAATGTTAGAGACTCGGGGTTACAAATAAATGTCTGCCCTCTTAATGAGGAAGAACGCTGTTCCAATACCTTCCCTTGGACACAGTTCACACTGTCAGGTCTTTAATGAGGAAGAGCCCTGTCCCTACAGCTTCCCATGGACACAGTTCATGCTCTCAGGCCCACAGAAAATTTTAACTAATGATGATTTTATGATTCTAACAATTATTAGCCAAGTAACTTTCCCAGCTGAAATATGATCTGGGAAATCCAAGCATCATTCTTACCCAGTTTGGAGAGGTCAGACTCTGTGGAAGTTTGGATGGATAACTTCTCCATGTGGTGGAGGTTTGCAAAATCCCCAGGGATGATCAAAAGCACATCTGGAATGCCATCTAGTCTCACAGACAATTCTTTCAGGCTTGAGAACTTGTCCAAGTTAGCGAAGAGTTGATCTGGGAAGCAGCACATAGTTTCCATCACTCATGCGTCCCAGGCGGAAATTCTCAAGTGTGCTGTGATTTTTAGATATATTCATAACGAAGCATCTCAGAGACTCTAACATCTGTTTAGGAAGCACATCCATGAAGAACGTGCTGTCTGCAGCATCTGGTGGTCACTGAGCACAGGGGAAGCTCCGTGGTGCTCCCCAGACTCACAGAACAAATAAGACAGCTCCCCAACAACCACAGCGTGGGAACAACTGGTTTTGTACATGCAAAAGGACACAGTTAGACTTCAACGTAAATAAAAATGTAACTCGGCACCTCTCTACCAAAGCAGATCTGGCATGTCCTTTTCCAAGGTCTAGTACCAGGTAAGTCTGACATCTTCCCCTCCATTCATCCATCCCCAGCCCACTAGTTCTAGCCTAGATTCCAATCCAGCTCATGGGCCTAGTCTAGCCACCCCTGTCTGTGCCACTGCCAAGATCTAGGATTGGCCCCTGACCCACTCTGCCTCCCTCCTGCCCCTAACCTTCAGGCCACTCACACAACACATCTAACCTC